ATAATTTCACAACCATTTAATGCGCATATATTTCTGCTCTATGTAAAAAAAATATTCCTTTTAAAATGTTATGAGTTACCTCGATGGGGCTCTCAATTGGTTTTTAAATCTTAACATTATCGTATCTGACTTTGATGTATGAGTGAAAATATGAAAAATAATATAAATTATAAGATGTTAACTGGCAAGTAAGACCATATCGAACCCTCCGAACTGGGAGTGGAACAGCGGATCATGTCATACATTAAAGCTGATTCTTAAGCTTTATAAATGACGTTAAGATAAGATAAATATGCATTGAATAGAATCTGTGAGAATCAATATATATTAAAAAAATCATGTATGTTGCATGCAATGGGTTTCACAGTGCACAACAGGCACCGGAAGTGCTACTGTTCACCAGAACGTAACAAAAACAAAGAATCACTGCCCTGAACTGTGGCAATTCATGAACTTACTGTGGGGGGTATACGATTCTATCCCTGCTATTAACTACCTCAAAACGCCTACGCAGCAGTAGTAAGAGAATGGATACAATAACCATCGTCTTCTCTTTTCAAATGCAAAGCAAACACCCAGAAGGTTAAGTTATTTGCTACACTGTGAAGGTGCTGACCTTGAAAATGAGCCCTTCCTCTGTGCTGCCCTGTTTCCACCAAGGTCAAAGGTTATGTTCCTTTCCAATTCATGAGCACCCACTCCCCTCCCCCCCCCAATTCTTTGCATTCCATGTGAAATGCATGGGATAACTTTCTTATTTTTGCATTCTAACACAGCACAGAGTTTTAGTAAAACAAAATATGCTGCTTATGTGTACACATTTTGGAATAAATGTTTATTGCAGATGGATCAAGAATTGTAAATATTGCGACGTGACTTTAATGTTGCCAAAGCATGAATCCACAAACTGGCTCCAATATTGCACTTTTGCCTCTTAAGCGATCATAAAAGGCCAAATAAGTCATGCTCTAATATTGAGGAGCTTTTAAATCAATTGGAATGAACATAATACGGGTTTTTAATGACCGTTTAAATGAACAAAGATGTTAAATTATGCGATTGGACAGAGCAATATAAATAAAGTTTTAAATGCAATGGAACAACTTGGTATCCCACAAAATCTCAGGCGCCATGGTGGCGACAACTACCTCGCCTAATAGACAGGAGGGCGTGGGTTTGATCCCAACCCTGATGACAGTATATTTTGAGTTTGCATATTCTCCCCGTGGCTGAGTGGATTTTTCTCCAGTTCCCCCAGTTTCTCCCTCCACATTCAGAAACTTGCGTTTAGAGTATTTGGCTGCAATAAATTTCCACATGATAGGCCACTATCATTTGTGGCCAGCTCGCGTCTGAAAAAGAGCTATATAGCTCAGTGAGCCTTACCTAATAACATTTAAATAGAACATAGTTTATTTGAGCATTGTTCAGAAAGTAGGAATTTTTTTTAGTAGGCAGGTTAAGTGAATGAAAACAGTGAATTATGAAGTTAATTGAGCAGCTATTAGTGGCAAGATGATGCAATAAAACAACCAAACGTGCATTTTAATGTATTAAAAAGAAGGAAAAGTTAGATGTTAACAAGACTGTCATCAATCAGAGTAACAGCCCAATTTCCGATCGCCTAAAATCGGTACTAGTCTGAGGGCTGAACTTTGCAGTCACCCCCAAACACATCCCAGTGGATGATATCATTGCCCAGGTTGACGTAGCCGTCAAAGATTTAGGTGACATCCCAGCAGACGTGGCAAGATCTGAAATCGCCGCCATCCTCAAAAACGCTTAGAAATCCATTAGTAACATCAGCAGGGACAAGCGCTTTGAACTCGCTCAATTGAAAAAGAGAGATGACATTGTCATCCTTTCAGCCAACAAGGGCAATGCCATGGTCATCATGGATAAAACCACATACAACAACAAAATCCAGGACCTTCTTAATGCTGGCAGTTATACTAAAATCAACAAAGATCCTACCAACCGCCTGGCTACAAAACCCAACATTACCGTCTCTAATTCGACTATTCGACTTCTCTAATCGAACTGGCCAAGCAGCTCTCTCTAAAACCTTCGGCTGCTAGACCACCCAGATTTTATGGTCTTCCAAAAATCCATAAAGAAGGTACTCCACTCCGTCCTATCCTTTCTACCATCAACTCACCTACCTATAAACTGGCCCGATTTCTGTCTGAGACCCTGCTTCAATTCACGGGCAAGACCTCCTGTGATTGCCAACAAGGGTTTTGCCACCAAGTATAAAAGTCATGTTTTGTAGAGGGGTCAAATACTTATATCCCTCATTAAAATGCAAATCAATTTATAACATTTTTGACATGCGTTTTTCTGGATTTTGTTGTTTTTGTTGTTATTCTGTCTCTCACTGTTCAAATAAACCTAGCATTAAAATTATAGACTGATCATTTCTTTGTCAGTGGGCAAACGTACAAAATCAGCAGGGGATCAAATACGTTTTTTCCCTCACTGTATAACAATTCCTTACGGCCTAACATCCTGTGCCACACATCCAATCCAAACTATACAGAAAACCACTGTAGTCTGCGCTCATTCAATGGGGGAATAGCAAAATGATATAAACTCTATACTGAAGTCCTCTGGTGGTTATCAGACCTTGACATTGGCAATCAGGTTATGAACGTATTGCCATACGCTTAGGAATAGAGAATGCGGTATTATTTTAAATTAAATACTTTTGTGTAAAATTCTGAATTATTAACAGTGGCAGCTGGACATTAGAATTGGGGTTGGGCCTCAACACAGAAAGGGTAAAAAACAATAACAACACATTTTCAAGTTTGTAAAACTGCATGTTATTTTACATTTCCTCATACATTAAGTACAATTTCTCAAAGACGGCTGCTTAAAACTGGACGTAACTAAGCCGGTGTACAATTATAACCTCTGGTGAACACGTGCGAGCGACTTGTGCAGGTTTTCCGCTGCAGGGCTCGCTGTGATATAATTACACTGTGCGCTGTACATGAACACGGCAGATAGGGGATGCTGTTGGGGGTTTGTTTTTTTCTTCTTCTGGGAATCGTAGGGGCAAAGCCAGCCTCTACCCCTTGCCTGCTGTGCCCCGCTGCGTATGCCCTTGTCAGTAGTCAGTTACTCTACTAAAATGGTTATCGACCACCAACATCGCCCCACACGCCTCCATTCCCCACCAATATATTTACACTGCAGCCGCCACCATTAAGAGTTTATACGTTTTAAATACACAGGGCAGAACAAAAACATATGGTACATTAAGAACACTCGCGATTTTTTTCTTGGAAAATTAACCAACGCACAGAAGACTCGAGTTTGCATGAGGACATGGGCATTACAGGAACAACACAACTTAGCTCTGGTTTTCCTTCGGAACATTTCATCAACAGTTTGTAAATGTTGTTTAAAGCTATTGTGGAATGTAGTCAAAGGGAAGGCGTACATGTCCCCTTGCATTAAAATATGCCGAAAGAACTGGTAAAACTAAACAGAAATTCCAATAAAGTATGGTATATGGGTATTTCTTGGAATTTCATCTGCACCACTGTTATGATTGCCTAAAACAAGAGTAAAATGTCCCTGTACGTCATTAGGGGTTGGAGCACAAGAGACATTGTGCTGATTGTGAATTTCAACAAAAAATCCACATAATACTTGTATCAAATTAATTTGGCAAAACATGATAAGATAACATTGGTAGGGTCTGCACATTTAATCCAATGCTCTAACAAATGTTGCCCATTAAAAAGATTATTTAACAAAATGCTTTCAAGAGCTTAGTAGTGCTCGTGGTGGTCCAACGGTCAAATCCACCAGATCATTGTTGACCAAGAATTGGCCGATAGCCTTACCCAGCTCACAAATTGGCAAACAATGAATAAATGTTGAACTGTTTATTAAGTTAAATTATATCAACCCTCGCAGATGGTCATGCATAAACCAGTTGGTTAAATGCCACATTTTTGTCACTATCAAATCCGTCGATTTCTATCCACTTTTAAACAACTGAGTGCTTTCTTTTTTTAAACAACGTTTACATTCTATTGGTAAGAGGCATGCAGCATCTTGTGCCAACCCTTTAAATGCAAACACGGCCACCAACTGCTTATATAATGAGAGCCTTGCAGAACATAGCTTTGCAAACATTGTTTATACATCCCAAAATTAATCATGACACTTTACCACTGATTTAAAGCTTTCGTGACTGCAAGCATTCATCTTCTTTGGTTCTTTCGGTAAAGTCACGTAGAATGAGAATAAAATAATAAAATAAAATGAGACGATAAAATTCTCACGACGTTTCGGCCACAACACAAGTAGCCTTCATCAGGTGAAAGAACAGAACTGTCGGACGACATTCTACGTGACTTTACCGAAAGAACCAAAGAGGACTTTACCATTGCTCAAGGATAACCTGCTGGGGGAGGTGGCTCAGATAAATTCGCTGGCACTGCCTGAGGTCCTGAAATGAACCTGAGCAGCGGCCCCTACTTAAACTGGTCTGTGCAGCCAGTTCATGGCCTCAGCCCAGTAACCAATGAATCCACATGTCTTGGCTAAGTTCCAGCAACGAGCGTGAAAAAGAAATATTCTTATCACTGGCATAAGACAACTTCCTGGAAGAGCGTGTGGGAAAGTACGCCCCCTACTGTGTCAAATAAAAAAATGATACGGTACTTGAAGGATCTTTCAGTAGGCCTGTGCAATATCGGATTCGCGGGCCGTTTTCTTGCCACATGGGTTGCACTGCTCTGTGAAATGTCTGAATGGATGCTTCATTTCATGGCGTCAATAGCACAACGGTTGTAATTTGTTTCAAACAACAGGTGGGCAAACATTCAGCCCTGCATTGCTGGTGGAAGGGCCTACCACTTTAAAGAGCTCAAGAAAGCCCTGTTTGAAAAAATATGAAAACAATAATAAATATAAAATAATAATAATAATAAATGACCTGCTGGACCGTGTCGTTTGTTTGGGACGTGTGACACATGTAGTTGGAAACACGCGTGCAAGAGAACGCAGGCAAGGCAGGCTTCCTGCACAACCTCTCTGTCGAAGAAGCCGGAGATGTGGGCTCGATGCTGTTCGCTTACAGCCATGAGCAGAACCAGTGGATAGCCAACATCGAGATGCAGGTGAGAGGTGAGGCGGCCAGCACTGTGTCCGCAAAGACACACCTGACAGGAGGGGAAAGGCAGAGCAGACCTTGCAGCTGTCCTCTCTTCCTGCTGCGGTGTGTTTTAACCATTAACCACTTTGACGTGCCTCCCCCATTGAGTGCGGTCGTGACATTCTTGCTTATAACTGTCCAGTCCAAACTATTAAAACGATTGATTTACTATGGTACCAGGTAAGACTCAGTGGGCTATTTAGTATTTTTTTTTAAAGCGACCTGGCCATAGATGATAGCTTAATGAAATGGCTTATCACGTGGAAATGTATAGCAACCAAAAACTCTAAACGCATGTTTCTAAATGTTCGGGGGAAATAACGGAGGACCCGGATAAAAATCCACGCGACCACAGGGAGAACACACAAACTCAAAATATATAGGTGTCAGAGTCGGGATCGAACGCACGACCACCTGCATACCAGGCGAGGTAGTTAACATCTCGCCACCATCAGAATAAAATGGTAAAGGCGCAATTGATATTTCTTGCACACACGTCTGTCAGAAGGGCTTTCATGAGAAGAATCACTCGAGGAACCCCCTTCCATACCCCCAATTAGCACGGTTGGCTACGTACGGTGTGAAAAAAGTTCAAGAAGAAGTTCAACATAGAGGGTATTTGGCCTATTCTTTCGTTCCAGCAAGACCTCTTGCAAGAGGTGGAAGTGCCCACACTTTACCCCACCAGACAATCTGCCGAGCGACTAGCAGTGGCTAACCCATTTATACTGCTGGGTGGGCGGAGGTGTTTAAGAAACGTGTACGATTGTTTAAACCGCTATGCACCGGGCTCAAATCGAACCGGTGAACTGTGAATTGCAAGTCCAGTGTGCCACCCATTACACTGTGACACCATCCTCGTAACCAAAGCAATGCAATTATACTTTTTTTAAAAAGGAGATGATACTTCAGGGCTGCATGGTTCCTTCTAAGTTTTGTCTATTTTCCTCCATCCACCACTAACAACGGAGAATGGTTGCACCCCTGTCCATTTGAACCATCTGAATTACTCTCTTGAGATGTGGCGTTGATGTTGGAATGGTTTTTGCAAGCATATGCTCCGTGTCTATGGCGTAACCCTGTGTTGTACGTAAAATAATTTCAAGAATTCAAAATATTGCTTCGTTTCCATTTATGGAATGTAAACACATTCGCAAATAACACTGGATTAGAAAAAAAGTACGTACTGTAAAATAGCCACATTATAGAATGTGTCATCTGTAGGAGAGAATGTTAATGGTCGATTGAATTGATGCCTGCACGAAACAGTAAAGATATACACGTCAATAATGTTTAGCCTTGTGTCAATCTACTGCTAGATGAAGGCCTCTATGCACAGTGTCAGCTATAGGAATTGATGAACTATATTTCACTGCACTGGCAGTATCGGTTTGGCACGACGGGAGGGGTGGGGAAGGAATCAGTTCGTATATCACTCACCACTGATGTTAGTGGCTAGGAATCGATATTTGTCGCGAAAGTCTATGTGTTAAGCTGACTAAATGATAAGGCTCGTTGAACGAATCGTATTGTATGTGTCATGCCACTCCACGCAAACATCATCCTTCTGAAGATGCCATAATATTGGATGCAACACTTGTGTACACAATGGCTAAACAATGTGCCATCACTGGCAATAACAACACACTTGATGGTATTAGCCTGCAGACTCTACATAAACGTTTATATACAATGTATCCCACAGGAATTGAAAATGTGCAAACAGTCCGTCTCATTTTACATTCTGCAGCTCGTTAATCAGACATCAAAGTTGGAGATGAAGGTTTTGGAAAATGCCCTGTCTATGAACAAGCTGGAAAGGCAGGTGCTGATGCAGAAACAAGCGATTGAACACCTGCACGAGAAAAACAGGTAACTACTGCATATGCACTCATCCAAGTGTAGTGGGTTCCAGGACACGGAGACGGCAGAATAGAAGCAGCACTATTTATTTAAACCTTAACAAGGGTTACACTAGAAGGGGTAGCGGCCCCTCCACCCGTATAACTCAGGAACACACCCCAGGCTCTCTAGCCTAAGCTCTAGGCTCCCAGTTCCTCCTGGTAGGGCTCTAAGGGAGGCTATCAGATCCGGCCCTGGTTAGGCACAGATCTCGGCACCCCACCGACCAGACCGGCCCTTAGAAGGACTCTGACTCTGGGGCTCTGGGGCCGCACCACTGGCTTGCTATGCCGGCCCTGAAAAGGGCAGCAGTCACAGGAGTTCCAGGGTCTCACCTAGCTGCCCTTCTTTCTTCACTGGTTGCTTCAGCCTCGGGCCCCACACTCTGCCCCGAGCTCCCTGGCTCCCCGCACTTTATACCCACTGGAGCCTTAGCGGACGTTGTTGTAGCCACCAAGGTGTGGGTGAACCACACCTTCCCGTGGCATGTGTTTATTCCCCATAGCACCCCTACACAAGTAAGGCGACGATTTGGTCACGGGTGATCATGTAAATTGTGAATGAAACAAAGGAGTCCGTAAAGTTTGGGTGACAGATGTGAATGTTTGTATGAACATTTTCGACTTGGGCACTTCCTTCAATTCCTCTCGGTGGGCGGCCTCATTTTCTATTTCTTTATCCTTCCTTGAATTTTTTCAGTTTTCGCCCTCATCGATTTTACTAAAAATTACCGTGACAAAATCATCACCTTGCAGAGAGGAGTGAGTTGGGTCACCCTAATCATCTGCCCTTCTTTCTCCAGCACAAAGCCAGGATTAGCCTTTTTTTCAAGATATCACAAGAAAGCTCACGTTTATTTCGTTGTTTTGTTGTTGTGTCAAGAGGTTTAACCTCCAGTGACGAAAGACGTCTTTTCATTAGATTGTGGACATGCTATCACATCATCTAGAAGTCAGTGCTATTGTGCAGAATGTTGATATCCCAATTTTAAAAGATGGGGTTCATGCCACGTCAGCCATGGAGCCCATGTCTACAATCATATATTTTATTTACTATAAACATTTTTTTAAAAAATTGTATCAGGTAAGACTCCACTGAGCTATATAGCTCTTTTTCAGAAGACACCTGCCTAGCACAAACGAGAGTTCAACGAAGTGGCTTATCATGTGGAAATCTATAGCAGCCAAATACTATAAAACGCATGTTTATTCTATATATGGCAGGAAAAACCAGAGGACCCTCAGAAAACTCCACGCGACCACAGGGATAACATGCAAACTCCAAATATACAGCAGGCGTCAGGGTCGAGATCGAACCCACGACCTCCTGTATTCCAGGCGAGGTAGTTAACATCTCGCCACTGCGGCGCCCCGACATTGCACAGCAGCGTTGAGACAAACCATCTGCACTCAAATGTGGCATCGTTGAGAGGTTTGGGTCGCACGCCATTTAGCTGGGGGACTTTTATGACGTGTTACACATAAGTGGCTTGGCCTTGAAACAAAATCATAATCTCAAAGCTCAGGCAGCATTCATGTTACATGCAGTGCATTTCAGGTCATTATGGAGTTTGAAAAAAAAAACACATGTGGAAAATGTTGCTTAGATTTTTAAGTCCTTCAGGGGAAGCTAGAAGCTGTTGTCAACTCTATACATCCATCAGGTGTCTCGGGGCTCAAGCTACAGGCCCTAATTACACGTCACCCCTGATCCGTTAGCCTTGGGACGTGAAGTAGAACAAATTAATGTGACTAAAAGTGACGTATGGTGTTAGGTGTCTGACGTCTATCCGCACAATTGTGTTAATCTGTGAGTGATGAACAAGCCACCTAGTAGAGAGTCAAAATAAATCAATAGACTTATCCGTGTGTCTACCTACTTCAACATATGTTTTGCCCATCAGCCCGTGGGCTTCCCAAACCAATGCTATACAGAAGCGTAATTTAAACGGGGAAATATGGACTGGCGTTTACCTTATGGGTCTCATGGAAGGCCCAAGTGCTGATGGACTGAAACAATGTTATTTTAATGCAGAGAGGTAAATGAAGGCCCAGTTATTATGTGAACGTATCATATCTATATTTTTTTACCTTCCTTGTAAATGATTCTGCAATAACATTTTCTAAAAATGATTACAGAACATTCTTCTTTCCTTTGGCTTTGTATAGCACAGGACTCATACATCTGTGTCCAGGTCTGATCGCAGTACTCTCACCGCTGTACGACTCTGTTTATTGTTTATTGTTTTTATTTCCCCATAGCGTGCTGGAAGGGAGGCTCACAGCGATGCAGGACAGCCACGAGATGAAGCTCCAGATGATCGTGCAGGAGAAGCGGCAGCTCCAGAAGGTGGTGGAGGACCAGGCAGTCGTCGTGTCGCAGGTCGAGAGGCACCTGGAGGAGGCCGAGAGGAACAGTTCCCTGCTGCAGCAGCAGCAGCAGGAGATGATGCACACCCTGCAGAGCGTTCTCAACATGCTGACTCATGCAGCAGGTGACACAGCTCGGGGTTTTTCCGCATCCGGGCGATGAGACGCAGCAGTATCCTCCGCTAATGTGGCCTTCGTGGCTTTAATGTTTATCTAAAAATCACCTTCAAAGGGGGCCATTTACTTGATATTTGTTTATCGCACTCGTCTTATTAGGTTATTCAGTTTCATGTCGACGCTTTCCTGTACCGAGACGTCTGCAAGTTGCGGCGTGGGCCTCGTTCACCGCGGAATCTCGGAACGCGCAAGTGGTTAGCGTTAACTTTATTTAAAGAGGAGTAGGGCCGTTGTTTTTACAGACATTGTACTCACCGCAGAGAACGGTAGCGACACGACTGCACGCAATGATAGCTGGCACCAAACTGTGCCAGACGCCCTCCCGCATGGCTTTGTGGCAGCCTCGATACGTCTTCTGAACGACAATTTTTTTTTCCGATTCCTTTCCGATGACGGTAGTCATCGGAAATGTACACGTGTACATCGTTATTGGAATGGGTAAGGGTGAAGCAGATCCCGGTTCTGTGTAACCACGGACACGTAAATATATGTTTAAGTCATTGGCCTATTAGCTTCTGGAATAAAATAATTATTATTTATATGTGGAGAGAGGCAACAGAGTTATACTTTGCTCTGCCATTACCCATGATATTACACAATGCTTCATGAGTTTGCATGCCATCTTAGATGTATAATTTACCCAGCAAATGCAGTCTTTATTTGCTGAGGATTAGCCAGCAACATAAGAATGTGATTAGGACAATGGTGTTTAATCCTCGTCTCTAATGACAAATGTGAAAATATATTTAATGTCCAGAAGGTAGGCAAAAATCATTAAACGCCTTGACTACAAGACATTCCATTCCATATAGCACAAAAAAGCGTGTGAAGGGACAATAGCCGGCTGTAGACTGCCCATTACATGCGTAAGAGCAGATGCTGCTCGTGTGATCAATGAAATAATCGGCGGTGGAGATTCTTTTCTTTCCGTTTCCAAGCCCCTTGTTTACTTTCGTTTGTTCGCAGTGAATCAGCAAAGTGCCAATGACGAAGTAAAGACTGAATTCCAGGACTGTGCCGACCTCCATCATTTGGGGAAAACGAACAGTGGAATTTACAGCGTCTCGGTGCGGAACATGAGCGAGCCCTTTGTCAAGGTGAGCTGGCATGCCGCGCACACAACATCGTCGTGACGGGGGGGGGGGGGGGGGGGGGGGGGCCCGAGAAGCTTGGCCAACGCTGGTACTAATTTGGTTTGGTACTGGCGTCATCGAGGCTGCCCAGCGTCTGGTGTGACTCAGTCGTGCCAGTTGTTACAGAAAACAGACAGGACTCACGCATCGACTAAATCGCCACCCACTTTTGCCCAATAATTCCGGAATGCAGTTATAGAGGAATGTAATGATACGCCAAACCACCACACCCACCTGAGCCTCCGGTCGATTTGATGAATGGGCATCATTGGGGTAATGCTTAGGGTAGAAAAGGCAAAGTGTTAAAGGTGGGAATACAATGATTCAGCCCCCTAGCAATCTGATGGATTGTCACTGTTCACGGTCGAGATTTGATGCAATAATTCATGTTTTATCTTCAAGTTTCTCACATCTCGTTTGTATCGCATCTCTAGTTTCTGGTTTAATTTATACAGTTTTGTTTGCTCCATTAGCCTACATATAACATTTATACATAATTTGCATATAATGCGCATAAATAATACATTTTTGTTTTTTTACGCACGCGATTCGACGCATACATCGTAATGGTTAGAAAAATATATTAACCGAATTGACAAAGACCTGTAAATTATTATATCATCATCTATGATGCGTATCATAAATTTGCTTATATTAACACTTTTCTTTCACTCAAAGCAAAGTGTTTCTGTGTGCCTTATACAACATTTAAGCATTTTGTTTGTCATTGTGTGTTGTGAAGGTTTGTGTGACACCTCAATAAACCAATTCTGCTCCGAATGGAATCAAAGTATTAACGCATGCCAGAACCAATATCTGAATTGGTTAGGTAGACTGTCTCATAGAGAATCAATCCCTGGTTGACAATCTCCATGGCTTGACCCAGAAACATGCGTGTTATGGGCTCGTATTCAAAGAGATTGCTGTCTGCACGCTTGTGAACGTGAATTAAAGACTCGAGGCCACACTCTGAAAGAAGCATCAATTTTGCGCGGATAATGAGGCCAACAAAGGCATCTGCATTCAATACAAAGCAAAAATCCTCTCTGTAAAAAAAAAGCTTTTGCTGCCCATTTTCATCTGTAGGCCCATCCCAAGAAATCAATCCATTTGCAAACCGGTGGTCGTGGCATAGAGTAGTTGGTATTGACCCTGGTGCGGAGAATTAAATGGCATCCCCCGGTCCAATCCCCCCAAAACCTCTTCATAGCCCGGTGCCTCTGGGCCCCTCTGACCTGTGGGGCCCAGTGCAGTCACATCACCTTCACACTTAATAGCTACGCCACCGCCTGGAGGACATATCCTGAAGTGGAGGCCGTAGCCTATACAAACAAACACTTCGATGGACAATACAATACAAATTCCTTACTTTAATTGCCCGGAAGAAAGTCGTGAAGGGAAACCTGGTTAAAATATAAAAAAAATGCAATCGTAAGGATTCGGATTTGCACGGCGTTTAAAAGCAACCGCATCTCAAGATGCTGCTGCATACACAGTGGGCCACGTTCGTTTTAGGGAAAGAAAATAAGCAGTCATAGTCTGAGAAGGTCTTGAGCCTGGCCTTGAACAGGAGCAGCGTGGGAGGCTTGGAGAAAGAAGGGGAGTCCCAGACTTTTGGGGAAGCAGAGAAGAATGAGCGACCTCCCCGCTTAGGGGGCCATCCATTCAGTACGTACGTATGGAGGGGCGAGGGGGGGTTAACCCAAATGCGTACGCTTGCGTATGGGGGGGTCTACTGACAATGTACGTACATATAGGAAACGGGATGGGGGGGGGGTTGAAGCCTCGATAATAATTTGTCTACATTGGCCTTAAAATGGGTTAAATAGTCCGGCGGTGGACTATCTGTTCAAGGATTAATATTATTAATCCTTAATATTAGTAATCCTTGATCGTTTCTGCGTGGATTAAATATTGGCCGTTCTATAGGATTCGGGGGGGGGGGGGGGGGTGCGTCAGGCGTGCGTACGCAGGTGGGGGTGGGGGGTAGTAAGTCCGCGTGTGTACAGGGAGGGGTCGAGTTTTGACAGATTTTTTGCGTACCTACTCAATAGATGACCCCTTAGTAAAGATTGACTGGGGCCTTTAACAGAAAGCCCTGGTTGTTGAGGAAGAGTGTCCCGGGAGGGGAATTGAGTCCACGTAGGACGTGGTGCAACAAAATGAAGATGCAGAATTTAAACACCAGAAACAGAAAACATAACAGACATATTAGAGGTGTGTCTGTAGCCTTTTCAGTTATCATCTCCATGGGTGTTCAAGGAAGTGTATGTTGTCTTGTTGGAGGTACGGACACTATACGTCAAGCAGCTTCTGATGCTGTCAAGTGGAATTGCCAAACTCACACTCACCGCTATGATGTTGTGTTGTCAGTTGCTTTAAAAAAAATCATACGAAAGAAAAGGAAAGAAAGAAAAAAGCACAGTATCGTTTTGATGCTGGAAGGGAACAAACAAGAAGATTATAAATCGTGGGTGAATGCTCAATTGTAAATGCTGTGGGTTGACTCGCCATCACACCGATGTGCTGAAGTAATAGCTAATCGCCACATTTTGTTCACATGGCAAACCTTACTAATTGGCTGTCGGATGGCGGTGGGTTTACCAACACATTTATATTCATGTGATCTCACTCAAAAACCTTTATTATGAATATTATTGGTTCGCGATAGCCTACGTGTTAAAGTGAATGCTCATTTTGTCTGCAATGGTCCCTCGTCTGCACTGTTCAGGTCTATTGCGACATGGAGACCGATGGAGGTGGATGGACTGTATTCCAGCGCCGGAAAGATGGCTCTCTGGACTTTCACCGCACCTGGAAGGAATATAAATTGGTGAGATTAACATGGGCGCATTTGGTTAGAATTTGACCGAAAAATTTGAAAAAAGTGGCCAAATTTTCTTGCTGTGGTTTTCACACCTGATGATGATTGCTTGTGTTGCAGTCGAAACGTCGTGAGAATTTTATTGTTTTATATTTTTATTATATTGTTTCCCTTCTACGTGACTTTACCGAAAGAACCAAGAATATGAATCCCTGCAGTCACGAAAGCTTTAAATCGAAATTTAACTGTATTTGTATCTGTCCCTGTCACCTCCCTGTGTATTTTACAGTCAAAAAAGTAGGGTTTCTCGAAACATAGAACCTTCCGTATCAACTTCATCATCACCACCATCGATAATTAACCCATTGCTCCATGAGGGCCTCTCCAAGCCGTCATCATTTCTCATGGTTCTACAGTTTGACGATCCACCTTGCTCATCCCGTCGCTCGCTCTGCACAGTGGACGTACTCCCAGGTGCAGTTCCATCATCGGCTGCCATTGTCGTTAGTCCCGACCACCGGCTATCGTCCCCCTCGAGTCTTGCCGTTAAGCCCTCTTTCTTTTCTAAACTGCTCAAATTGTGACATAAAACTTACGTGACTGCAGGAATTCATATTCTTTGGTTCTCTCGGTATGGTCACGTAGATAGAAAAGAATAAAATAAAAATAATACAATTATAAAAATGTATAAAAACCAAAAACTCACGACGTTGCAATTGCAACGTCGTTGCAATTGCAACGTCGTGAGTTTTTTTTATTATTATTAATTAATAAAATATAATTATATTTGTTATTTAAATTTTACTTTACCGAAATAACCAAAGAATATGCCCAAATTGTCTTTAACCAGCGTGTGCTGTCTAATCTATGTGTTTTGTTCTATCCCGCAATGCAATTGCAAGCGTGCATCTCCACAAGCTTCCTTGTGTGAATTTTAAGCTCTTGCATTGAATCTACCAAGGCTAAATTAGGAACGTATTTTCCACTTGTCACACAGGGATTTGGAGACCCCGTGGGCGAGCACTGGCTAGGAAACGAGGTGGTCCATCAGCTGACCAGCCACAAGTCGTACGTGCTCAGGGTGGGACTCAGAGACTGGGAAGGTCACGAGGCTTTCTCCCTCTACAACAGCTTCGCGGTCGAGAGTGAGGCACACAACTTCAGGTGAGAGGGCCACAGGGGACAACCTGGTCTATGTGCACAAATGCAGCACCCCCTTTTTGTCAGGCGGAGACGTAGGGGGGCACTGTTGGTGGATTCGGTTATTCGTGATCAACTCTAGGAATTCCTCCTGTTACCTACACAGCTGTCTGTGGAAACACGTACAGAAGAGGATTAACTTTTAACCACTTCCGCATGACTCCTTTTTTACCTGGGAAAAAGTGCGGATAATAGAAAAAAAAAGATTAAGAAAATGTTTGTGGATCGATTTTAGGTGTGAATAATAGGAGTTGCGGATAATTTGTCCTCAATGAAGTAGAGTTTTATTGTGAAGAGATATCCACTCAACATGCACTACGGGCATCAACAACAACAGCCGTTCACCACGGAGTGGCAGTGACATCACCACGGCCCTTGTGCCATGCTAGGTGCACTTTGAGGCCTCGTCGAGTGATTGAAGGCCCACTGACATGAGGTCACGGAAAAGACCCAGGTACCATGGGTTGACTGAGATGACTGGAAGATGCACCGACTGTGCTCCCCAATGTGGCAACTCTCTGCATTTTAGCCGCACAGCGCTCTGCTCATTGTTGTGAGCATCGCTCCTCTACCCTCCGTTGTTGCTAGAGGGTGACTGTCTCCAACTCCCCAGTAGCATCCTTCATGAACCTCTTCCACAGAGGCCGATCTTGACACTGCTGGTACCGGTCATCGGAAAGTCCAGTCACCTCTGCATCCTTCCGTACCACATCAGTCCCTGTCTTCTCTAGCCCGTGCCGTGGCCGTTTAGCCCGCTCTAACCGGCCAAACAGAAGCTGCTTGGGCATTCGGTATGCACTACGGCAATAGCATCTTCATGCACACACATCATGATCATCGCACTGCCAGTGGTTAGATACCATTCCTACAATGACTTATCACTGGCTCCATAAAATACTTAGAGATATTTTTCATAATGATGCCTTTTGGGTTAGATCGCGTAAGTATAAATGTGTCGAAACCCTCCACCACCCGACACGGCCAATCAGTAAGGGATGTGTTACGTAAACAAAACGCCAAATAGTTACTTCTTCAGCCCACCGGTGTGTTGAAGAGTGAATCTACAACATTTACAATCTGCGTACGACATTTCACTAGTAATTACATCTAGCATCATCGGGCGATTTGCCACAATAGTGAAGCCAACCATATATATGTAGTGGTTCACACCAGCGAGGCAGAGACGTCTTAGAGGCAACACGTTTATTTAACAATAAAGCCCTAAACACGAAGGGATATAGCTGCCCCTTCACCAGCTACCATAGGGGCTAGCTCACCCTAGCTCACTCTAGCTCACCCTAGCTCACCCTAGCTCACTCTAACTCACCCTAGCTCACCCTAGCTCACCCTAGCGCACTCTAACTCACCCTAGCTCACCCTAGCTCACCCTAGCTCACTCTAACTCACCCTAACTCACCCTAGCTCACTCTAACCTACCCTAGCTCACCCTAGCTCACTCTAACTCACCCTAGCTCACCCTAGCGCACTCTAACTCACCCTAGCTCACTCTAACTCACCCTAGCTCACCCTAGCTCACTCTAACTCACCCTAGCTCACCCTAGCTCACCCTAGCTCACTCTAACTCACCCTAGCTCACCCTAGCTCACCCTAGCTCACTCTAACTCACCCTAGCTCACCCTAGCTCACCCTAACTCACCCTAGCTCAGCCTAGCTCACCATAGCTCACTCTAACTCACCCTAGCTCACCCTAGCTCACCCTAGCTCACTCTAACTCACCCTAGCTCACCCTAGCTCACTCTAACTCACCCTAGCTCACCCTAGCTCACCCTAGCTTACCCTAACTCACCCTAGCTCACCCTAGCTCACCCTAGCTCACTCTAATTCACCCTAGCTCACCCTAGCTCACTCTAACTCACCCTAGCTCACTCTGACTCACCCTAGCTCACCCTAGCTCACCCTAGCTCACCCTAGCTCACTCTAACTCACGCTAGCTCACCCTAGCTCACCCTAGCTCATTCTAACTCACCCTAGCTCACCCTAGCTCACACGGGGTGGCTATATCAAACCGGACCCTGACTCGGGTCCGGGTCTTGTAGTCGGGGCAGGTCTTCTCCAGGTGACGGCTTCGGTCTTGATTCTTGCAACAGCCAGCCGGACCCGTTCAGGGCTCCGGCTTATATTGCCCTGGGCGGGGCTTACTCCGCCCCTAGCCACGCCCCCCTTCTCGAGCCTTCCAGAGGGACCTGGTCCCGTGGTCCCCCAGCCCCCTCTTTGGGGCCCCCGGACTGGTACCTCCGGTCAGCAGGCCTCCGGGTTCACGTGGAGTGCCATGACCCCCTGTGGACCCCTGCACCGTCCCTGGCACTCTCGCCCCCTAACCTCCACGGGCTGGCCCTGCACGTGGAGTGCGGTGCCATCCATCCTTGATCGGCGATCTCAGCCGGCCCCCGCTAGGGCCGGTACTGCATTCCCACTGCAGTGCTGTAGGTGGTGTGAGTGGCGTGTGTCGTGCCTCACACAGGCCGGCTTCATACAGCATCCAGTGACATCTGCCGATGCCACTACATATATACACATTGCTTGACGTACACTGTGGAAAGTTTCGCATGATTATTACTACTACTACTTATTTACAACAATATTTCACCTGGAAATCCCTTGAGATGGAACATCTCATTCGCAAGTGGGTCCAGGGTTGCAGTTGACGCGGAAAAAGCCAACACGCAACAACACGCGTACGGGCATTTTAAATACGCAACTTGTTCAGGATGAACTTGCGCAAATAATATGGCACCCTGTGAAACACACATACACACACGTACACATATATATTATTAAATTGCGTGCACTGCTCATTCAATCGTGTGGAAATGTACTTTAGCTGCAACAGCTGCAAAATGTTTTGCAAGTGTGTTGTAATTAATGATGTAGATAAGTTGAGACTGTCATTTAGCACAGGAAGCCACGTGCTTCGATCTGATGGTACTGCGTTCTTAAAAGTTGCACATTTTTTTTTAAAGCTTTGCACTACCCGATAGACAAAATAGAAGACGAAACTATGCCTTTGATTCAACAGGTGTAATTATAGGTACACGTCATTGTTGGATCTGCCTTAAAACGCTGAACAGTATGTTCCACATTAAGCCATACGCATCTTTGAAAGAAATCAAATGTGTCATTGCCATTGCATATTAACTCAAAAATAATGTGTAAATAGAGACTGGAGCATCGACTTTCATGGCCAAGCTAAATATCTCATAGGATTGCCAAATGTAGAACACATGGCATTGTTGGTCGCCCAAGAAGACAACACCGTACCACATCGTTTATGGTTAATTTTTATATCGTCCCACATTTGCAGATTTCCAAACTCAACCAAACCAAGATGTACAATATTCTCGCGTTAATAAAATGCAATTTGCATCGAAACCATTGAGTCACGGGAGGCCCTGAGGTTCGCTCAGATTTTGTGTGGATAACTGCTCTGCAGTGCTGATTCGGTCCAGTGGTTTGCGACTTTGTATGCACAGACATCAGGGTGCATTGCTTCTCATGAAAGTTAACTCTCGATTACCCGTGGGTTCATTATCCAGGTTACTAAGCAACCGTGTTTACAAGAAGAAGAAAACACGTTTAGGCACACAACTGACTCATTATCTGCAGCCGACTCGTGGGAACATTAGTAACTCAGTACCAACATGACTGCAAACTTGTCAACACGCAAACCACTTGCTTGAAGATGTAATCAAAATAAACGACTCTGTGTATGTTCGCACCGCTATTCTACGGAGGCAAACAATACACCTGTGTTTATATCCTAACATGGTTTGAATTTTAACACGTAGGCTTTCGCGACCAATATCATCCATAATCGAGGTTTTTGGGTTAGATCGCGTAAATATATAAATGTGTCGTTAAACCCGCCACCACCCGACACAGCCAACTAGTAAGGGTTGTCACGTAAACAGAACGTGGCCAATTCGTCACTAGTACAGCACTAGTGTATAGTGTAGTGTAGTGTGTAGTGTATAGTAGTGTATAGTGTAGTGTATAGTGTAGTGTATAGTGTAGTGTATAGTAGTGTATAGTGTAGTGTATAATGTAGTGTATAGTGTAGTGTATAGTGTAGTGTATAATGTAGTGTATAGTGTAGTGTACTAGTACAGCACACTGGTGTGTTGGAGAGCCAAGCCACAACATTTACAAACTGAGTACGACGTTTTGCCAGTTATTAAAACTAGCTTCATCAGGCGACAGCCAGATTTGTGGAGAAGGCTTACTGTTTCGTTCCTTATATAGAGGATAGCTACCGTCTTAGTGCTGCGTGGAAGTGAATCATCAAATAATACATTGTTTAAATGCATGCCTACAAAGGGCAGCATACTTCAATAGGGATTTCCGTTGGTAGGGCTATTTTAATAAACACAATAGACAGGAAGGACAAGTTCAAAGGACTCACATAATGCACATGCATAATGTACGTTGACTCAGTAATCCCGCCCCCCCCCCCCCACTACATTGTGCAAGAGCGCAGAAGCGTGGTCACCGCATCTACGCCTCTATATAAGGAACGAAACAGGAAGACTCCTCCACAAATCTGGTCGTCGCCTGATGAAGCTAGTTGTAATTACTGGCGAAACGTCGTACTCAGTTTGTAAATGTTGTGGCTTGGCTCTCCAACACACCGGTGTGCTGTACTAGTGACGAATTGGCCACGTTCTGTTTACGTGACAACCCTTACTAGTTGGCTGTGTCGGGTGGTGGCGGGTTTTAACGACACATTTATATAGTTACACGACCTAACCCAAAAACCTCTATAAATGGATAGTTTTTATTATCTATTTTATTTTATTTTTGTCCGAGCCACCCTTGCTCTGCATCACCCTTGACAATCGACGGTTGACCTGATTGCTGAGACCAATTTGTTCTCCAAAAAGCCAAAGTTTCTTCAAAAACCTGGATATTGCATCAATATGTACGAGGGTGACATCCCAAGGTGTTGC